AAGAGGTATTATAAAGAACAGTCAATGGCCATCCAGATTGTATAAGAACAGGGCACAACAACTGCTGATCTTTCAAAGACACCAACAGCTCTACCTTTAAAAGGGTTAACACACAAGCCTGTACATGTTTAGCAATGGCCTTTAACAACAGAGAAACTGCAGGCCTTAGAAGAGCTGGTTTGAGCAGTTAAATGCTCAACATATTGAAGAATCAACCAGCCCTTGGCATTCTCCTGTATTTGTTATTAAAAAGAAATCTGGTAAATGGAAAATGATAACAGACCTAAGAGCAATTTACAAGGTAATTCAGCCAATGGTTTCTCTACAATCTGGAATTCCTTTGCCTACTCTGTAACCTGAAGTATGGCCTCTTATAGTTATTGATTTAAAAGACTGATTCTTCTCAATACCCTTACAAGAAAAGGACAGAGAAAGATTTGCCTTCATGGTGCCTACTTATAATTCTCAGCTGGTTAAGACATAGCAATGGAGGGTTCTCCCACAGGAATGTTAAATAGCCCAACCCTGTGCCGATATTTTGTATTACAGCCATTGGAAGTAATATGTAAACAATTTCCTAAATCTATAATTTATCATTACATGGATGATATTTTACTAGTTGATCCAAATGTAGACACTTTAGAAAGAATGTTTGAAGAAATAAAGAATATTTTGCCTTGTTGGGGTTTACAAATTGCTCCTGAAAAGATACAAAGAGGAGATTCTATTAATTATTTACATTATCAAATAGGTTTACAAAAAATTAGATCCCAAAAGGTGGAAATTAGCAGAGATCAATTACTCTTAATGACTTTCAAAGATTATTTGGAGACATTTCCCATCTATGGACTATTGTTGGTGTAAAAAAAAATGATGAACTGAGTAATTTTTTCAAAACCTTAGAGGGTGACAAGGACTTAAATAGTCCAAGGGAATTATCAGTTGAAGCTGACAGAGAATTGGCCTTGGTGGAAAAGAAAGTACAGAATGGACATGTGGATCATGTGGATCCAAAGCTTGATTGCATTTTGGTTATTTTACCCTCTAAGCATTCTCCTACAGGAATTTTAATGCAGAGGGAAGATATTATATTGGAATGGATATTTCTACTAAATACACAGAGTAAAAAAATTTAAAACTTATGTGGAAAAGATCTCTGAGTTGATGTTAAGGAAAGCTGAGGCTTTTTCAATTAGCAGGAATATACTCAGCCGAAATTGTAGTACCTTTAACTAAGGATGACATTGACAAATTATGGACAGTAAGTGAACCTTAGCAGAGAGCTTGCAGTGATTTTTTGGAAAGATTAACAGTAAATATCCCAAAAGAAATATAATTCAACTTATAAACAAGACTGAATGGATCCTGCCTCATATTCTACAGGAAACACCAATATCTGGAGCCCCTACATTTTATATACATGCAAACAAACAAGGAAAGGCAGGTTACAAATCAGAAAATTTAAGTAAAGTGGTTCAAAGTCCTTATAATTCAGTTCAAAAATCAGAATTATATTCTTTTCTGATGTTATTAATGGATTTTTTTTAACCTCTCAACATAGTTACTGACTCTCAGTATGCTGAAAGAGCGGTCTTACATATTGAGACTGCAGAATTTATCCCTGATGAGTCAAAATTAACTTTGTTATTTATCCAGTTACAAGCTATAATCAGGAATAGAAAGCATCCCTTATGGGTCTGCCAGGCCCTCTAGCTCAAGGTAATGATGAGATTGACAAACTATTGATAGGAAATGTGCTGGAGGCCTCAGAACTTCATAAAAAACATCATGTCAATAGTAAGAGTTTAAAAAGGGATTTTTCCATAACCTGACAACAAGTCAAAGAAATTATGAGGAAATGCCCTACTTGTTCCTTTTACAATCAGAGTCCACTACCAGCAGGATGTAACCCAAAGGGTACTCAGAGGAATAAAATCTGGCAGATGGTTGTGTTTCACTTTGCAGAATTTTGAAAATTGAAATATGTACACCACACCATTGATACCTATTCAGGATTTCAATGGGCAACTGCTCTGAGTTCTGAAAAGGCTGATTCTGTAATCACATATTTGCCAGAAGTTATGCCCATCAAGGGTATACCTGCACAAATTAAAACTGACAATGGTCCGGCATATGTCTCTGTTAAAATGAAACAGTTTTTTTGGTTATTACAAAGTAAAGCATATTACAGGTATACCACATAATCCTAACAGGCCAAACAGTCATAGAAAGATCAAATTGAACTTTAAGGAATATGATAAATAAACAGAAAGGAGTAACAAAAAAAAAAACAAGAAATAGATTACATAATGCTCTATTAACTTTGAATTTTCTCAATGCTAATGAGAAAGGAACAACAGCTACAAGAGACATTGGATAATAATCATAAAAAAAAGTAGTGTCAAGGGTGTGATGGGCACTTAATAAATACCTGCTGGTGATTATTAGTTGAAGTGAAGAAACCAACATAGACATGTGCCCCATTGTAGTTTAACTACATATGCTCACTTTTGAGTGAACTTCATGGCTAAGACATGATGTGATAAAATTAGCAAGCAAGTCATTGCATGCCTGAGTACAGCACACTATGTGCATACCGGAAAGAGTTCAGATCTGCCTAACATGGCTGAGTGGAGTGGGACTGTGTAGAAGGAATGGCCTAAGTGCTCAGAGGAAAGCAACTGTTCCCTGTAGGTAGAAAATTCCTGACTTTACTAAATAGTTTCTTTGATTCCATCTCCCATTACCAATACATTATTTAAATATGGTCTTTCAAAGACAGACATATTATGGGGCATTTTGAATATTAATCCGATGCATTTTTTTCTTGGTTGTAGCAATCTTTTTTAGAACATACTGGCCCAAAGGCCTATGCTACCAAATTGGTAACAACCCCCTGGATGTTCATATAGATGAAATTATATATAATTATCATGAGTTAAGAACAGATTAAGTGCCAGATGGTGGTGTTTGCCTTTAATTCCAGCACTCGGGAGGTTGAGGCAGGTGGATCTCTGTGAGTTCGAAGCCAGCCTGGTCTACAGAGTAAGTTCCAGGATAGCCAGGACTACACAGAGAAACACTGTCTTGGAAAAAAAAGAACCAATTAAGTTTTGTCTATAAAGACAAGGCCCAAGACATATAGTGATCAACCTGGAGGCAAAAATGCTTTATCAACACCCAGACTGTGGTTTTTAAGTATTATTTCCTACTAAAAAGACTCAGCACTCTTCAGAAAAATTGTTGGTAATATGTATAAAATGGGAAGTGTGCAAGATAACACTAGAAAATACCACTGGGTCATGCCAAAAGAATTCAGGAACTAACTTACAAAGGCCACCGACCAAAGATAGAGCTTTACACATCAACAAGATTTCTACAGGACTGAAGCACACAATTAAATCTATAACAATAATCTTCCAATCATTAATCATTTTTAGAATATGCTAGCGATAACTCATCATCTTGAAAACTTACAAGTGAATTTGAAAATACTTCAGTGCTTGTCTTGAATTTCTTGTCAAGGCTAGTATGATGATGAGCAAATAGTGGTGGAGAGCGCGTCCTCTTTAGAGATAGTCCGCCTGGAAAATGAAGACAGTAAAGTCAAAATACCACTGCTCCTCAACCCCCTAAAGATATAACAGATGATCAAAGAAACCAGTGATGGGTACACACCTATAATTGCAGCACTTAAGAGACTGAGACAAGGAGGTCAAAGGTTAAGGCCAGACCAAGCAACTCTGTAAGACCCTGTCTCAAAAGCCCAGGACAGGAAGGGGAGGGGAGGAGGGAAGAAGAACATGATGACATAAGACCGAAAATGAGATATACAATGGACCCTGTAATAATTATGATCAACTAATGGAATAGAGAAAAATCAAGCCTCCTGAAGAGGAGGTGGGTTGTATATAATTTGAAAAGTCCCAGAAATGATTATGTGTTTCCATCTCTCCTCATTGTATACTAGAATACACAAACGACACTGTCATGTCGCTTCTTCTCTTGGCCACTTACCTAATTCTATTCACATTTTTATAGCGAGTTCATATCTAGTGTCACTAACTATAACATAAATATCCCCAGTGATCTGCATGATTTACAGTACTAGAACTAAGTTTACTCATTCCCTCCTACCAATCTCCAAACTTAAAGCCAGTTTATCATCTGGTTTGTCTTTCTCTTCACTTATGAGTACTCCACTCGGCCAAGATATGTCTGAAACACTTCTGTTGAAGCTGTATGCCAACCCTGCATTATATCTCATTGTGTCTGAGTCACAAACATCAGGTTGTCCTTCATTCTGAAGGCAGTTGGGCTCCAGGGACAGATAAAATGCTTAATTATCTCACTCTATTGTCCAAGACAAGCGTACTACCATATCAGTATTACATATGAAATGCCATCGTTCAAGTCTATTAAGGGTGTGCTACAGTGTGAGCTATCTGAAGAATATAGTGTAGAAAATAACTGCTTGCCATTTTATTGCTTGTTTCCTGTTGAGCCTATCAGAGCGGCTGTTTTACACTACTTAGTTTAAAGGGCAGAGGCTCTATAACCATACAGGCTAGATCCCACCTCCAATGATTAGGTAACATACAAGTTACTTATTTCTCTGATTAGTTTGTCTTACCTGTAAAATTACCGTATCAGTGTATGTTGCATGGGAGCTTTATGGAGGTAGAATGCAATAATACATTGAAAGCACTTGGAACAGGAAACAGTAAGTGTTTGTTTGTTTTTCTTCTTTAAAATCAGTGAATATTATTCTTTATTGAGATAGTAGCAGATAGCACAATAATATCTGGAAAACAAGTTGAGCAGCGTGGTTTTTAGGGGGAAAGCCCATTGAGTTTCCTTATGAGGTGTTTCCTTTTATTTTTGTCTGTGCTTTTAAAACAAGGTCTTGCCCTGTAGTCCAGACTGGCGTCACACTTACCACAATCCTCCGGCCACAGCCTCTCTCGGATGCTGAGATTCCAGGTTGCAGGGAGGGGGGACGGGGGAGCAATAAACCATCAAGATTGGTGTCCCTAGAATTGTATTTGCTGCGGGTAAGGACCACCCAGACGGCGGAAAGGTTGTCGCTGTCCTTGGTGCTGGTAACTGCAATAGCGCGCTCGCTCGGCAAGCACTGCCCCTAACCCCATATGCTTTCCCGGTCGCTTGAGGAGTAAATCTCCCACTTCTTCCTCATGGGAAATTCTCAGTCATTCTGCTCATTTGCTTTTTCTCTGTATAACTGCGATTTTCTTGTGTTCCCTTCAAAGGAAAACAATTACTTTTTATTTTCTTATTTATAAATGTTTTAATCCCCCAGAAACATGAACTATACAGAAGGTAGCTAGAAATTGGTGCAAAGTCCCTTTTACTTTGCAAGCTTCGACAAGTCCAAAGCTCATAGATTACATAAAGCAATGTGATTGTGGTAAATATTTTAACACCTTCAGCCCATGCTGGAGATGCAGCCTAGGCCCTGGGTTCAGTCACCAGCACTAAAATAATTAAGCAAACAGATAAAGACTCTCTTCAATAAAACTCCTCTAAAACGTTTTCTGAACCTTCATCCACTCTCCCTTAATCCCACAATATCCAGTAAATATATCTCAGTAAAAGTAGCCTATTAAAATGCATTTCCATATTAAAAGTTAGAATATAGAACATAGTCAATAGTCAATAAAGGTATATTGGACTAAATTTAATTACTGTATCCATTAGAAAAATATGGTCCCTAAAACATTCTTAAGAGACAGACTTCTGGGGTTAGAAAGATGGTTCCATGAGTAAAAGAGCTTGTTACATAGACTCTGAGCTCAGATCACAGCATCCACATAGAAAAGATCCAGCACACAGCTGTCGCCACAGTGTTGGGGGAAGGAGAGAGACAGAATCAGAGGATCTTCTAGGCTTGCTGGCCACCAGACTAGCTCAAGGTTCAAAGCAATAAGACATGATACTCCGTGTTCTCATTTGGCCTCCACGTGGGCACACACACACACACACACACACACACACACACACACACAGCCTTCTGTGTTACTCTTAACGGTGGATTAAATTGCAGAGTAGCAAAGTTTTACTGGTAAAAATATCCTAGACTGAGTCTGTCTACTTCACGCCCATTCCATTCATATCAACCTGCTGGTTCAGTATTTCCCACTTGCTAGCAAACACCAATGCCATTCATTCTGGAAGCTCGGAATCCATCATTCTTTCTCTCCCGTTCTACTTGTGCACACCAGTGACAGCAAATACATTTGGGGCTGGTTCCCAAGATGAAACTATAGACAGTGTATGCACGTCTCACCCAGAAGGACACCTCTATTCCTCCACTAAAGACTAAGAGAGAAGTAGCCATCAACAAGTGGGGAACCTGACTAACGGGGACCAGAAGCCGTGTTCTGAAGTCTTTGGCTTGTAAGAAATAAAACACTTGGCCTCCCATTAGAGCTACCTTCCTCAGCACTGAACATACTTTGTAAATAGGATCTGCCCAGCCATTCTCATGCAGCAGCTCCCCAGAGCTGTTTGGCCAACAGACATACAACTCGGGGCTCTCTTCCTATTTCACTGTAGTGACAGTTGTGACATTTTAAATTTGTAAAACAATGTTTTCATTCGAACTCCCCTAGGAAGAGTAGGAAGAAACGCAGCTCTTGGTCTTTCCATCTTCAGAGAAGGGCTTAATGACAGGTTCAGCCTATTTAATGACAGGCCCAGCACCACGCCGTGTTTTATTGTTTCATTATTCCTGCATAAATGCCCTTTATTACACATGATAACTAAAAATCAAATACTGGCTGGGGTGGGTTTAAACAGGTAAGAGGGCAAACTAAGCTATATAGTGCACACGTGGAACCGTAGGGATTTTGCAAGGAGACCTGGCTAGTCACACACTGATTGGCTTTGAACTTCGAGACTCCAGGGACCCTCCCGTCTCAGCTTCCCAAGTAGCTAAGTACAAGCACACGTCCAGGGATCTTAAATTCTTAAGATCTGCGTTTGAGTGTGTGATGTTATCTCTGTCTCTAAAACATTATTTTTTAACTTCAGAATTACAACCACAGCTCAAGGGGGAGGGAAAAAAAAACTTTAAACACACACAAAACGGGATTCTTGGAACGTTTTACTATTTTATCATGGCTGACTAAATAGGAAGACATGGCCAAAAGAAAATAGCTATCTCTGGTGCAAGTACCACCTAGGTAGAGATAACTAGCCTCACATGACAGATGTCACTTTCAGACATCTTCAGAAAGTCGGAATTTTTTCCCCCTACAGGCTTTCTTTCGACTACTCGATTGCAAGGGAACGATTAACGTCCCCAGAGCGAAACCCGCAGGCCTGGACTAAATACAGGCCTCTGCTCCGCCTGCTGGGTGCAGAGGCTCAACTTTTTCAAAAATAGCCAACCGGCCCGGACTCCGGAGCTCGACCTTTTCTGCGCATGCCTCTCGGATCTTCCGATGCTGGGTCACCGCCCCCACATTCGTCTCGGTACGTCACAAGTGGTGGGCGGTGTTATCTAGGGGCGTGGTCTGAGGGGGCGGGGGCCGGCGGCGGTGCTGAACGCCAGCCGCTGCTTATTGCCCGCGGGCTCCCCACCGCGCCCTCGTCGGCTGTGCGAGCGGTGCGATTCCCAGGCGCTAGCGCTCGAGCCGGTGCGCTCCCAGGGCAAGCACCGAAGCTGCTGGATCCCCGGGGAGCGAAGGAGCCGCTCCCAGACCAGGCTGCTGCCATCTCACGGCCAGCGGAGGACCATCCCTGCCGCTCCGCGTCGGGGCTGCGAGAGGAGGACAAGGACATGCTGGGCGGCGGCAGTGACTCGGGCCTGGCCACCGCCGCGGCGCGGGGGCAGGTGGAGACGGTGCGGCAGCTCCTGGAAGCCGGCGCAGATCCCAACGCCATCAACCGCTTCGGGAGGCGCCCAATTCAGGTAGCGGGGCCTCACCGGCAGGGGGCGCAAGAGCGCGGTGCCCTCCGCGGCTGCAAGTTGTGACCGGGCACACCTGGGCCGCTGGCTTGTGCCTCTCGTGTGCAGCCCAACAAGAGGCAGGTTTTGAAAGACAAAAATTCTGGAGGAAAAAAAAAAAAGTGAAAAGACCCACTCTACTTGCTTGGCTTTTTCTTTGTTCTGAGATACTGGGTCTGGAACCTACGGCCCCGTACGTGCTGGGCCAGTGCGCTACCCTTGAGCAATATCCCCAGCCTCCAGATCTTTGTAATGGTGGGAAAATACCAATATTTATTCTGATATCTTACAATCATAGATACAAGGCCGACATTCGGGGAGCGAAGTGGGGAAGGAAGGGTCAGATAGAGAGGACCACATGATAAAGAGGAGTGAGATTACCAGTTACACGGCCTGGATTCAAGGAATTCCACAAACTTGTAGCATGGGAGAGCGTTCACTGTGAACTTGTAAACAATGGTATGAATCCTTTCTATTCTTTTTCCCTCATAAACCAAATCGCGTTCACAGGACTAATGATTTCTCAAACCCAGCACTTAATTCTTTGTATGCGGGCAGTAACTGTGTAGTTTTTCACTGTTTAATGCAAACATGCAAGCACTCCCTACAGAACTGTTGGGTCCTTTCAGAATGACGAGGGGGTTTCCCTAAACGTTCTCTTAATTTGTTCAGTGTTTTCGAATCCTGCTTTAATTAGTATTGACTTTATTTCTTGAAGATCTAACAATGGTTTTGTGGTCTGTTGATTATTACAGTCGCCTTTGCTGTTCACCTCACCGTCCCTCTGTGGGACTAAGGAAATGAGGGCTCTTGTTAATAGCGTGAATTTTTAAGAAAATATTCATCCCTCTCGAATTTTCAGAAAAAGGAGATGTTTAACAAAAGAATATTTTTTGAGCAACAAAAATATTGTCAATTGATTATAAAGACCTTATAAAAGGAGATTTTCTTATTTACTATCTTATTTTCTTTACTGAGAACTTTTAAATCTTTCTTTTGCAGCTGCAAAAATAACCTTTACTCCACTAAAAGAAATAACAAGATTGTTCTATTTCTTGAAGGAAGGAAGGAATGTTTCTAATGTTCATGTGATAAAAACTGACACATGAACACTGCCTCTCACTCCATTTGTAAATTTCAAAGCCATAGGCCCACAAGAACCAGTGACTGTTCTGGACAATTAGATACCAAAAGCTGTTTTATTACTAATTTAATATTTGCATAGTGTACAAAATAGCTGCTATGGGATTACATCTCCAAAACATCAGGGTTTGTTTTCCTAAATTACGCATCTTTATGATTTAACAGCTACCAGCCAAGCTTTTTATAGACTTTTTATATAGAAAAATACTACTTAACATTAAGTTTTTATACAGTGTAAATGACTATTAATTTCATATTACAATGTATTGCTCTAAACTTTCCACTGTATACCACACACTAGGTTAAAATGTTATAAGATGCTAAACATTTACAAGTAATTTGTTTCCATAATGTATAAGAAGCTTAGAATATGAACTTCCCTCTGATCTCCACTTGTAATGCAAATGATCAGAGTATATTCAGTTTGTGAGCACAGACATACATGACATTGAAAGAACAAAACCTTTTTTAAATCTGACTTGCTTTTTGTTTTCTCCTCTAAAGCACTCCACTAACTTCTTTAAAAAAAAAAAAAAGCAACAGTACAGTACCTAGTTTATAGGGTGTCTTAGTTTTGCTTTCTATAGCTGTGATAAACACCATGACCTAAAGAAACTTGGAGAGAAGGGGGGTCATTTGGCTTACACTTAAATGCTACAGTGCATCACTGAAGTCAAGGCTGGAACCTGGAGGCTGGAGCCGAAGCAGAGATCATGGAAGAACACGGCTTACTGGCTTGCTTCTCAGACTCAAGTTTAGCCATCTTTCTCACACCTTTCTCACACCTTCCAGGACCACCGGTGGGATGGCACACCTAGAGTGGACTGAGCCCTCCCACATCTACCAGTAATCAAGAAAATGTCCCACAGACTTGCCTACACAGGCCAGTCTGATGGAGGCTTTTCTCAGTTGAGGTTCCTCTTCCCAAATGACTAGTTTGTGTGTGTTGTTGACAAACCAATCAGCATATATAGTTAGACCGAGATGGATAAAGGAAGCAGCCTAAAAAAACAATATAAAACTTTATAAAGCCTGGCTCCGGTGTCCCAAGATATACTAGGGCAGTGTTGGCACACAGCTTGTGAGTGTAACCATCCAACACCTGATTTGACTAAAGGTCCACTCCACAAGATGGAACCCATACCCAACACAGCTTTGGTGACCATGAACCAGAACTAAATAGCCCAGGGTCCTAGGGGAACACCAGACAGTACTGTGGTGGAGGGGGTGGGGGGATAAAATGACTCATACTGACATCTACTATACTCATAATCAGTGCCTTGCTCATCCATCATCAGAGAAACTTCCTCCTGCAGCAGACATACAGAGCACATACAGAGACAGACATTATGCAGAGGCTGGGAGACCTTGAAACACAGTGTTTCCATCAAATCCCACCCCTCAGGGCTCAGGGAACCCTGCAGAAGAAAAGGCAGAAAGAGTGTAAGAGCCAGAGGAGATGGAGGACACCGAGAAATCAGTGACCTCTAAATCAACATGAGCAAAGCTCATATGAACTCACAGAGACTGAGGCAGCATGCTCAGGGCCTGCACCGGTCTGCACCAGGTCCTCTGTGGATATATTGTGGCTTCCAGCTTAGTGTTTTTAAGGGATTCCTGTGTGAACGAGTAGGTCTCTGAGTTGTGTGTCTTCTCTTGGGCTCTTTTCCTTCTGTTTATTTTGTCCAATTCCAATGTATTAGGTTTTATTTTATTTTGTTATTAATATCCCTTAGAAGCCTGGATATTTGTTTTCTAACAAGAGACAGAAAGGGAGTCGGTCTGGATGAGGGGAGGTGGGGAGGGGACTGGGAGGAGTAAAGGCAAGGGAAACCATAATCAGGATAAATTATGTGAGGGAAAAAGTCTATTTTCAATAAAAAGGGGAAAATAAAAAATAAATAAAAATCCCGGTTCAAACTGCGCTAAGAAATCACTTAAAATAAATCCCTGCTGTCCAGTACTACAAATAAGCAAATTGTCTGCCCTTTTCTGTCGCCTCACCTATGGAGAATAAAATAGAATGTATTTTGAGTTCAGCCTAGGCTGTAACAGGTCGGGAGTGGATTTACGCAGGCAAATGAGAAACCAGACACCTGAGGCTTTTCAGTTCCTTGGGGAGGGGGCCGTGCCCCACCAACTCCACTCTCCAGATTCACCCTGAGCGCTCTCTCTCCCTTCCCCCGCAGGTCATGATGATGGGCAGCGCCCAGGTGGCAGAGCTGCTGCTGCTCCACGGAGCCGAACCCAACTGCGCCGACCCCGCCACTCTCACCAGACCCGTGCACGATGCGGCTCGGGAGGGCTTCCTGGACACGCTGGTGGCGCTGCACAGGGCAGGGGCGCGGCTGGATGTGTGCGACGCCTGGGGCCGCCTGCCGGTGGACCTGGCTGAAGAACAGGGCCACCGTGATATTGCGAGGTATCTGCATGCTGCCACTGGAGACTGATGGCAGCAGGTTCGCTCAGCCTCCCGCAAGGACTTTTTTTTCACCCCACCACCATCTAGGCAGACTGCAAGCGTGAAGGGGAACTCGGCAGAACCGGCAAGCCTTCCAAAACTCAAAGCCTATCCAGGGAGGCAAAGCCAATCAGAAATAACTTCCCAAGTGTTTTCCTGCATCTGGGTCTAGCCCTCTGTTCTCACCCTGAAGCCAAAGGGATCACCAATTTGATTTAGTATTGTGTGAAGTTCCCTGGGCCCTTTTACCTTTCAGGACATGGTGTAAAATAACAAGGGAAGTTCTTGAATCTCCACAACATGATGTTGCAGTGGGAAGTGGAGAGCGTTGGTGATAGATATTTGGGAGGTAACAGTCAGTACCTTCCCCTGTGAACTCCCAATGTAGATGATCCCCAGGCTAGGGGGAAACCCTGATGAGCAGCACTGAAGTGCCCCTGGGGCTTTAAGCACTGTGTCCCGTCATGCCTGGTGATTCACCTGCAAAATGGCATTCTGCTGAAAGTGAGGACTCGTCCCCAGCTCCACCTGGAAGATGACAGCAGATGTTGCTAAACTCTGTGAACCACGGTTGCTTAATGGTCTGGTTCCTGACAGACTCAACCTACACAAAGTCCAGTGGTGAATCGTAGTATGTAGCAATTTGCTCTATGTAAAATAGTTTAGGAACCCCTCTAGGAACTTCCTACTTTTGAGTTCTTTAGAAACAGTGTATTTAATGAGTTACACTTTTAACAGTGTTAACTTCTTCTGGTCCTCAGCAGAGGTGAAGTGCAGCTTGTTTTTGTTTGTTTGGTTTTCCTTCCTTCCTTCCTTTTTAAGGCAGTGCTTTCCACTTGTAGCTCAAGCTAACCTCAAATCCTGGTACCCCTGCCTTAGCCTCCTAAGGACTGGGCTCGTAGCAGGCACCCCTTCTTTAGTACAGATCCCTAGGGAAACGGTGACATGTGGCACACTCCTAGTGGCAGTGCACACCCTGCTTTCGTCCTCTTTATTTCTGTTCACTGTTTCCTGTATAGTGAGTGTCTCAGGAGAACTACGCTGGTGTCCTTTTAAATGAGAGACGAGAGACGCACTTACCCTAGTCAGTTACCTTAGGCTACTACTGCCTAAAGGTTAGGAAAAAGAGGTTGGGATGAACTTACTGAAATTGAATGACAACTTGTGGGCTGCCTTGCTACTTGTCTACTGAACAAATTGTGGGTACTCTGTGGGGCTTCCATTGTGACTTAGCTCATTTTACAGCATTGAAACAATTGATACATCCATGTTTTAATAAAGAATAAACAGCATAGATAGACTCCATGATGTGAATAATCTGGCGTTATTTCTGAGGCTGGAGAGATGGCTCAGATTCTGAGCACTCCTATCAGGAGGCTCACAACCACCTGTAACTCCAGCTCCAAGGAAGGTCAATATCTCTGCCTCCACAGGCACCTTCATTCATGTTCACACACACACACACACACACACTCTCTCTCTCTCTCTCTCTCTCTCTCTCTCTCTCTTTTTAAAAAGCTCAAATAAATGTGGGGCCTGGAGAGAGGTCTCAGTGATTAAGAGCCTTTGCTGTTCTTCTAGAGGACCCATTCAGTTCCCAGCAACCATATCAGGTCCAGGATATTATGACCTCCAACAAGGACCCATACATGGCATACACTTGAATATTCACACCAATTTTTAGAAAATTAATGTATTTCCATGGGCTTACCACTAACTCCCAAATGTTAAAAGATTCAAAAGTGGGTTGGGGATTTAGCTCAGTGGTAGAGCACTTGCCTAGCATGCTCAAGGCCCTGGGGGGGGGGGGAACATTCAAAAGTGTTCACTGCTTCTGTCCTTTATACTAAACTTTGATAAGTTATTTTAATAACATTTTTAAATATGCTTACAGTAAAATGTAAAATTTATATTTTATGCTTCTGGGTGTCAAATATAGTGAATATTTATCTAAATAGAGACGAGGAACTAGAAAGGCAATTTGAGAGTAGAGACATAAGGAGTGACTTTTAACTAAAATTTCCCTTTCAATTCCTTACTTCCCAAATTAGTATATTACCAAAGAAGATGAGAACTAGACCGTATCTTCTTGGCGAAAGGAAATAAGTTTATTGATACAGTTTACACTGGGCATGCTTTAAAACACATCTGTTCCTTCAACACGTAAACCTTCCATGATGTGCAAAAGTAAGTCAATTTGGCCCCAAAATGGGGGTCTTTTAAAGTTCACAAATAGTAGGACTAATTTGGCTTGTGGAACAGGAGACTGGCAATTCTGGTATCCAGGGGCCACACCTACTGTGGTTTCTTGCTACAGCATAATGTGGCAAAAGGCATCCATCCTGTGGGAGACCTCCGGGAGAGGGCAAAGTCTCAAGTAGTTCAGCAACCCCCATTCATGAACTCATGCAGGTGGCGCCCACATGGGCTGAGCATCATTCTGGTCTCATTCTGTTGCTGTGATAAACAATGGCCAAAAGCAACTCAGGGAAGTTCAGGGTTTATTTGACTTACAGCTGTGATCCATCAAGGGCAGCTAAGCTGGGAACTCAAGGCAGGAAGTACAGCAGAGACCACAGAGAACTTACTGGCTTGCTCCGCTGCACTTGTTCATGGTGCTTTCTCATATAAACCAGGCCCACCAAACCTGGAGGAGCACCACCCACAGCGGGCTGGGCCTTCCCACATGAACCAATAATCAAGACAGTAGTCCACAGATCTGCACACAGGTCTACCTGATGGAGGCATTTCCTAGTGGAGGTTTCCTCTTCTCCGGTGACTCTAATTTGTGTTAGGTTCACAAAAACTACCCAGCACAGTACTTCCCCTTCATGTCCACCACCACTCAGCACAGACCATTGGGGGACAAGTTGTCAATACATACTTGAAGAGGCACATTTAAAGGACAGCAGAGGCCCTTTTTACATAAGTCCCCTCATCCCCTGCTGTGTTCATTTATATTAACAGGTCATATCCCCCATGGCTTTGCATGTGGCTTTCTCTCAATCTCTTTGTTGTGGATCCAGTCATCCTATGTATGTGTGCTGCTCAGCTCTCCATAAAGAAAAAATCCTCAGGGAACTCTCTCAATAGCTGATGACTTACTGTCGACGAAAGCCCTGCTTCAACCCTTACCTTGCCAATAACTGATGAACAAGTAGCTGAAGAACCTCCATTTCATCTTGACCTGAGTCATTCCTCTATGATGACCTACATGATCCTCTAGCCTAGAATTAAACCACGTAATAGTGGCTGATCTTCCGCCTCCTGTGGTACTGAGTTCGCCCTGATGGCAAAACTGGATCTTACTGGTTTTTTTTTTTTGTTTGTTTTGTTTTTAACCCCTATGCATCATGCAGCATCTGAGATGTAGATGGCCCAATAAATAGAAAAATAATTGTATATAATTATTATTCAAGGGGGGGAGTAAAACTCATGATAGCAAATATCAATGCCTACTCAAAGAAAAACAAGTTTAAAGGAATAACAAAGTCCTACATGTGTGCAAAAGGCATTCTACCTTTCCCTCTACAGTTTGTATTGTAAGTTAATAACTCATGATCATATGCATTTGTAGAGTACAAAACGTTAGGATTCCTGAACACAGTGGGGAATGGCTGAATCAAGCTAGTTAACACATCATCACTTCAAGCAACATTATGCTAAGTGAAACCCAAACACCACAACCCCCCCCCCCAATGAAGACTCTGAAATGCACTGAAGCAGATATTTAAATAGTACTCACAGAGGGACAAGGATGGAAGGCATGTCACAAAAGCTCAGACCAGGGGAAGATGTTTGCCTTTGTCTTTAATGCTAGTAAGTGTTGTGAGAAACACAGTCCAGTGTGCAGATTTTAATGTTGCTACAACAGAAAACTCCAGATGTTCCTACCACACTGACAACACTTTTGCTTCCACTATATCATCCTGTCTTCAAAATCATAAGCGATACAAGGGGAAACAGGTATTTTTTTCAAAGTGCAGAAATGATCTCTCTTTTACCTTCCTGGGATGGCTCTTATATAAAATCTCGGAAATAAAAACATTGTGTTAAACATGATTTTAACTAGCTTTTAGAGAATAACTCCCCCCCAAAAAAAAAAAACTCAAAATTATCAGCGTAAAGCTTTCATCTGTCCATACAGACTTACTCTAAGTCCTCCAGCAGCCTGCTGCATGAGACCCTCCCCCCACCCTACCTCCACTCCCTGAGGAGTCCACCTCTTGGTGAGGCTCCAGAGTTCCCTTAACTCTTTCCTGCCTGGCCTCTCAGCCTTCCCTTCTCGCCCATGCCCCATACTTTGGTGCCAGCCACCGACCTGCAGATACACTCTCTTCCAGGGACCCCCAGTGGCTACACTGAGCCGAGTCGATGATTTTCACTACCCTCCGGGGCCTCCATTCTCTTCTCCACAGTCGTTCTTCCTCCTGCAGCTGCCTGCCAGCAGGAGCCCCTCCCATCCCAACTCCGCTCCCTGAAGCCTCCATCACTGGTGCCACTGCCCCCCTCGGCCTTTCCTCCTCGCCTATCACTATTCATTTGTGTCACTTACCAATCTGCAGAAACATTCTACTGGGAAACCCCAGGGTCACCACACTGGCCTAAGATCCAGAGCAGGCAAAGAAGCGAGCAAAATCACCCCACGAAGACACCAGATAGCTATCCCACAGAACACCGCAGACAAGACATCGGAACTCCAGATGTCTAGGTCCAAGCACCAAAGCACAAACGTGAACACCCAAGACAATATGCCTCCTCCAGGAGCCAGTAACCATATTGCATTAGACCCTGAGAAATTCAATTTAGCCGAAGTACATAAGGACCTCAAAACGGCAATTATGAGTATGTTCAAATACCTTAAAGAGGGCATAAATAAATGCCATAATGAAACACAGTCGAATGAGTAAAAATCATTTTAAGACATGAGAATAGAAATGGAAATCACTAAAGAGAATCCAAATTGAAATGAAAACCTTAGGATGTGAAACAAAAGCCTCATAGATATTCCTTCTAAGGTGAAGAGTAAGTTATTGCTCTCTCCATGAACCCATACCTGACACTGCTAACGTGGCCAAGAACCTAAAATGAGAATAAGTCATGGCCAAGGGGAAAACCTACTATTATTCTCCTAATAATAATAGCAAGAAGGAACATAGCAAGCAATAAAATGACCCCTAAGAACACACTGTTATACCACAGACCATGCCTCACTCAACACACATCAGTGAAGGCTCTTCCTGCAATGGATGGCAGCTAACAGAGACCCACGACTGAACAAGGTGCAGAGTGAAGGATTTTGAAGCACCCAGTCCTAAATGGGGTGTCTTTATCAAACTCCTCCCTCCCCACAGAGCTCAGAGGGCTATGTGGAAAACCAAAAGATTTGAAGAGCCAAGCGGGGAAGGATGACTTCAAGAAAACTGTGTCTTCTAAACACAACAGGGTTAATGCACCTATGAACTGGGAGACTGTGGCAGCCTACACAAGTTCAAGCACTAAAAGGGGAAGTGGACACTGGCTCCCACCCCTAACCAAGAAGCTATCTGCAATACCCACTGGCAAAGACAGAATCAGTCTTCTCCAATGGAGTCTCACAGGCTGTATCAACCACGCCACACAAATTCAATGGTATTTTTGTGGATTTTCTGTTGCCTTTTGCCTTATCATTTTTTTTGTTTGTTTCATTGGCCTTTTGCTTGCTTGTTTTGATTTTTGTTTTTGTGGGTTGAGGGGGTGTTTTTGCTTTTGTTACTTGTTTTTTTGTTTGTTTTTCAGGGGAAAAAAAGACAAAATTGGGTGGGTAGGAAGTGGGCATTCTCTAGGAGAAATTAAGAAAGGAAAAAAAACAATCAAAATATATTGTAAGAAAAAATGAGCAAAAATAATGGAGCGCTCATTTTCATACTGGGCTGTAAGAATGGAAAATATAATTCTAATCGTCACTTTAATAATCAATAAAGGCCAAAAATAGAATTTTAAGGATATATTATTTTAAACAGCTTCAAAGAAAAATCACAGAAGTAGTAATATAAACTCTCATTTGATTTATAAAATCCCTTGGCTTCTTTATTTCTTTTGGTCCAAAGTATTGAATTTGCTAGTTTGAGGAGAATGACTCATGAAATTGATTATCTCTTAAAATACGAATATTTGACAGCTGTTATTTCATTCCCAATTTAAAGAAATGGTGGTATAATTCTCAGTGACAACTTGATATAATGAAAAGTAATTTTTAAGAATTTATGAACTCCACAGTAGTGTGGTACATTGTTTTATTAGTTTTTGCATAAAGCAAAAGCGAAACGTTATTAGAAATCAATTACCACCTGGTTGTACTAAAATGGTGGCTTTTGCAAAAAATAGATTCAAGGCCCTCTGACAAAGAGGATTGGATGATGTGTTTTGTTAGCAGTACACAGAACTAAGTTTATCAGGATGTAGTCCTGCTAAATTCAGTTAAGGATTTGGCTTTGCAAATCCATGCAAACAAATGCAGCTAACTACAGTCAAAAGCCTTTTTCCTCATTCCATTGTAAAATTACAGAAGAGTGAATAAACCTACTAATTCTGTATCTCGGTAAAATACCACAGACCCTCTCCACCTAGTGGGCCTTCGTTTCAAGATGATCTGGCAGGCAGAGTTTCCATTTCAATAACTTACTTTGGCATCATGGGTTTTTTTCCCCTTTTTCTAAGTATATATTGGAGAAATGGGTAACTTATTGTAAAAATTTGCTATGATCTAATGGTTATGATTACTTATTTCTGAACTAAGAAATTAAATATATTCAAAAAAGAGGCCAAGATTCAAAAAATTCCCAAAAACTCTGAAATAGCATTACTAAGAAATGTTTTTAGATACATCTCTATATTATAGCGAACAATGCATTGTCCAGTTTACCTTAAGCTAGACCACAGACCTTCAACACATACACAACACCAATACGTTTCCAACTGCCCTTCACAGGAAATATTAAAAAAACAAGGTATGTATATATTTATATAATAAATAGAGACTTTAACTGCCTTTATAATTACTCTTTGACTTTTTTTTTTTTAATGAAAGAGAAACTGATTTCCTTTTATTTTTACCAGAAGCTGGTGATTTTCATGGCAGGTTAAAAGCTTCACTATGGCCAACATTTTGCCACTCTAAAAAAAGCAAAGCAAGAGAATTAAAGATCACAAAAGTTACAGGATATATCTGAAGCAGTCTTGTGTACGGCAGAAGCCAGTGTCCCCAAATGCAAGGTCTGCTACCGTGTGTGTGCACGCGTATGAGCATCTAGCCACAGCCACATTCTGATTTGCTCAGTACATTCCCAGGACTAGCATAACTATTGATTAATTCATGGAAACTCAAATTTAGAAATTACTTAAAGAAACAAGAGTTAAACCTCAATCATCTGAAAATATTCTCCTATTTGTAATTCCTGCATAGAGAGAGGAAATAGAGAGAAGAAAAGCTAGGTGCTGCTTCATGTTAATTAATTAATTAACTAACTAAGCCACATCACTTTAATTACCCTCAATTTCCTTTATACATAAATATGGCAACTGGATTAGGTTCTTTCTACATTCCTACCATCACTAAAGCTCTATGCTTTTTGAATCTCTGCATAGCTGACACATTGATATGTTTGTTACACGTGTATATGTGTCTGTATATGTAGAGAAAGAGATCTGTGTTTGTGAATATTTATTTGCATATCTTAATAATTATTTTTGCTATGAGCTGAGCAAAGATATAGAGGGGACAGAGACAAGAGGAAACTACTGAGATTCCGTGGCCCTGGGGAGAGGAGAATCCTTTATAATATTACATCTCAGCCCTGGACCACCCACGTGCTGCACTGGTTCACTGAAAAGTTAACAGAGCAGTCTGTCTGATGAAAGCCAGTACAACACAAATACTTGGCTTAACTTTTTCAAGTCTTTCTCAATTCATCTTAGTTCTGATTTTTCTGTTGCTTTTTTTATTTTTATTTTTTTTTTTCATGTTACTGAGACCCCTGGACTAATTAGTTTCTTACAATAAACTCAGCAGGCAAGTACAATACAGAAAATATTGTGAGGGTTAGCTATTCTAAGTTAATATAAATACACTGAAAATATGATTTTTGTGTGATTACATGACAAGGCTTTCCAATCTATGTTGGTTTAAGAATTTAGACAAATAGAAAATGGAAGTTGGAACAGATACCAAGTTCCTATCTGTTTACACATCTGTCTCCTTGTTCTGCCTGAAAACCGTGTCTTCCTGGAAACTTCTCTTCTGTGCTGGTTAAGTAGTACTGAGCTGTAGACAACAGAGCAGGCCAGGGGCAGCACCTTATCTGGACTGGCAATGGCTCTCAGGGGACTCCCCAATCACAGATTAATGTGAAAGGTTTCT